GTCGTGACGATCGTCGTTTAGTAATCTTCGTTTTAGCTTTTTGAAATGTGGGAGTCACTAGATTGCAACTCTCATTATTGGTTGTGAAGACCATTGATCAGAGTTTTCATCGATTGTCGTGAAGGTCATTGAATTATAGCCTTCTGGAAGTCGTCGAATTGTAACCTCCATTATTGATGTTTGATGGGGATAAACTCTCTGTTGTAATTTTTTAGACAGCCTACAAAGACACACTGACTGGATCCCATACATCTGTATGAATCAACTCTAGCTTCTGAGCCTTAGGTGGCCTTCCACCCTTCTGAAAACTAACCCTCTTCTGCTTCCCAAAGATACAGTCTTCACAAACCCCGACTTCCACGGTGTCGATCCCGGTTAGCTTTCCTTGTGAATGCAAAATCTTCATCCCCTTCTCGCTCATGTGCCCTAGCCTGTTGTGTCATAGATCTGTACTCTCTTTGCTAGCTGCAATTGCGAGGGTGTCACTCGCATGTAAGGTGAGATAGATAGTTCGTAACTTGTTGCCTCGAGCAACTATCATCGTACCATTGGAGATTCTCCATGAATCCCCTGTAAATGTTGAAACATAGTCTTCTGCTCCAAGCTGTCCCACCGAAATAAGATTCCTCTTCAGCTTTGGTACGTGTCTCACGTTCTTTAAGGTCTACTTAGAGCCCTTCATCTGAATTTGTACTTCACCCTTTCCAACAATATTACAGGGCTCGTTATTCTTCAAATATACTTTTCCAAAGTCCTCTGCTACATAATTCTGAAAGAATTTCCTGTTAGCAGTGGCGTGAAAAAAGGCTCCTAAATCGATGACGTAAGAATCCGAGTCGCTATCCATAGCAAGGATCAAGGCATCCTGCACGATATGAGCCTCCTGCTCACCCGCATCCCTCTTTGGACTTTTGCAGACCGAAGACATATGGCCCTCCTGGCCGCAGTTCCAACATTTCCCTTTGATAGGCCTAACCTTCGAGTTTGGCCTCTTCTTCACTGATTTCGACCGATTCCTGTTCTGGTTTTCTTTTTTCTGGCTTCTGCCTCTCTGGTCGAAGTTTAGAGCTGAACCTGAACCTTCTGATTCGGACGATTTCCTTCTAACCTCCTCGGATAGAATCATGCTAACAACCTCACTCAGCTTCAACTTCTCCTTCCCCACCGAATTGCTGATTGCCGTCACACAACCTGCCCAACTATCCGGCAACTGCGATAGAATCAATAGAGCTTGTACTTCGTCATCAAATGTGATATCCACGTAGATAAGCTGATCAACAATCGTGTTGAACTCGCTGAGGTGCATCGTGAAGGATCGTCCTTCTGCCATCTTGAGGTTAAAAAGAGTTTTGACGAGATGTACCTTGTTTACTGCCGACGGTTGCTCGTACATCTTTGCGAGCGCTTCCATAAGCCCCACCGTCGTCTTCTCCTTCAAAATATTATGGGCTACTGATTTGGCGAGCGACAACCAGATTTGCCCTAGAGCCTTCCTATCCAGTATCTCCCAATCACCATCTAACTCCTCCTTCTTCTTTCTCTTTTCCTTGCCCATCAACAGGCGATACAAGTCATTCTGGTACAGATAGTTCTCCATCTGCGGCTTCCAGTAGGCGAAATCTGAACCGTCAAACTTCTCAATCTTTGATTTGATTTCCTCTGTCATGGCTCTCTTTCACACAAATTGCTGAACGAAGCTCTGATACCAGTTGTTGGGGATTTGAAATAATCAAATCAAATCCGTACCCTTCCGGATCTTGTGTTTGAGAGTTGAGCAAGAAAGAAATTTACCACAAATCAAAGATAAAAACTTGTAAGCAAGAAAGAAATTCACCACAAATCAAAGATAAAAACTTGTAGGAAAGTAAACAAGAAAGAACACACCAGATTTAACGAGGTTCGGCAACGTGCCTACGTCCTTGGGAGCCACACCATATAATTCTTTGATTACTTGAAGAAGATTACAATGCTTGCAATTGGTCTCTCTCTCTCTCTCTCTCTCTCTCTCTCTCTCTCTCTAAGATTTCTAACCTCAAAGAGCCCTCAAAATCCTTTTTTTCGTGCTCTTTTTCTCTCTTAAACCCTAAAGGGACGTGTTTCTATTTATAACAAAACACAATCCTAAACAGATTAGGATTCTAAAACGAGTCTGCCACACCCTGGTGTGGCGCAGACCACACCCATGACAGACATGACAGATTCTGCCACACCCTGGTGTGGCGCAGACCACACCCATGACCTGTCTTGAATTTTCATGCAATTGTTGATTTTGATTCTAAGTTTGGGTCTCCACTCTCAAGACCAACACGTCCCACCCAGTCTGCCCAAAACTACCCACCCAGCACCCCTTCTTCACCAACACAAGTGTAAACCGACAGCACCGAACCGAACCGTATTAGTTCGGTTCGGGTCGGTTCTCTTGAGATCGTCGGTGCTTTTCAGTTGTCAATTTTTTTATCGAAACCGACCGAACTGACCGAATGCCCACCCCTGGACGCCTCTACATGAGATGCTTACTTATGTCAAGGGCTACTTGAGTTCAAACGAGAAACGCGTTTCACCGTTCCAATTCGTTTCCGACGTCATCCAAGCTCCTCAGTCCCCCTCGCGTGCTGGTCCCATATTAAAGGAACATTCCTATGCCGAATAAAAGGCAAGGGCATTCTCGTAATCATACCCTTTCGCAGATCGCACCCGGATATTTAGCTTCCCAATTAGTCGCAAACTACCTTGTTGCTCGCTGTCTTAAACAAATCAAACTATCGCGAGAAGCTCGACCAGCTCCCCACCCAAAATCTCATCTCCGTCATCAACGGCCAACGCCTTCCCACGTCAGCACACGGTCGTCTCCAAAGCTAGAGCTTTTGCTCTCTCTCTCTCTCTCTCGCCCACTCTAATCTTCAACGGTGATCGAGATCGAAATCGAAACCCTCGATGATTGATTCTGCTCTCAGATGGCCACTCTAATCTTCAACGGTGATCGAGATCGAAATCGAAACCCTCGATGATTGATTCTGCTCTCAGATGGGATCGTTAGAGAGCGGGATCCCGTTGAAACGAACTCCGCTGCTTCGATCGTCTCCTTCGAGCGGGAGCAACCGATCGTTCTTTCATCGGCCCGTTGAAACGAACTCCGCTGCTTCGATCGTCTCCTTCGAGCGGGAGCAACCGATCGTTCTTTCATCGGCCGAGATCTCGGCTAGCTCGATTCCTTCTCTTTGAAAAGGTCGATTACATCCAATGGATTTGCACTGCTGCGGCCTTTTTCTTCGTTGTGATCCTGTTTCAAGCTTCTCTTCCTGGTTCCGTGGTGGAGAAATCTGGAGGTGAGGTTGAGGAGAGCGATGGAGCGATCTTGAAGGGGATTAGGGGTTTGGATTTTGGGGAGGGGATAAGTTTTATGCCGACGAGGTTGATGGAGAAATGGGAGAGAGAGAGGAGAGAGGCGAATGCAACGAGTTTGGGGAGGGAGGTGAAGAGATTTGGGTTGAAGAGGCCGAAGATTGCGTTGGTGAGTGATTATTGGATTAAAAGCTTGGGTTTTGTGGGGTTTTTTTCAGGGTTTTTTGAGCTGATCTTATTGAATTTTTATTTTTTCTGGTGCAGGTGGTGGCGGGGCTTTGGGCTGATGGGGTGCAGTTGGAGATGGTTAGTGTGGCAGCTGCTCTGAAGGAGATTGGATATGATATTCAGGTATGAAAATATTTGGCTGGCTCTTCAGATTTTCTCGTGGAGTTTGTCGTTTGAAGTAGATTTCTAGCTTCCCATGAACTGATGCATAATGTGGCATAATGTAGAGATCACTTAGGTGAGTGTCTAGTCCAGGAAAAAGTGTTTTAGTTAAATAGATTGGATTGTGAATTTAGATGTCTCTGAAAGTTTGCGGAGTGGAAAGAGATCTTGAACTTCACAGGATCTGGAGCTCGTTGAACCAAATTGGACCGGGTTTAGTTATGATCAATTTTTCTCTCTCTTTTGTTTCTGAAGAAAATAATTTTTCCATGAGCTCCAGAGTTGAATGTTTACTGATTAGTAGTAGATCGATGCTTCGTGGAGAAGATCGCTGATCAACTAGACATTAGGGCGTCTAAAAGTAGATATTAACTCACACTTCTAAAGTGACGAAATATAGACCCAGAAACTGGCAGATAGTGCCTGCTTCTTGTGGTTGTGAGAAAAGCCACATAAGTTTTCTTTTGCAGCCAGGAAAACATTTTAGTGGACTTCCATTGAAGGAGAAGAATGAATGTGAATAATTGTAAAGTTTTACAGATTAATCATCAATTAGCACTGCACTTTGAGTCAGACTCTGAACTTCGACTATTGTTTGGCAACTTATTGTCTCCAAGACATTAGACATATGGACACCGCGTCCTTAAAACTGACATCAAAGCAAATATAGACCTATGTTGATGGTCAGAAAAGATCCTTCTTTTCAGATATATATTTAAATTCTTTCCTGTTGGGTTATCTTCACAAGCTAAGATAAACGCATGACAGGCATACCGAAGATTTACAGGTTCTTTAGCATTAGTTTCCTTACAAGCGCCTTAGGAGAAGACTGAACCCTGGCAATTACTCATGACACAAACAAAAACCTCTTCCCAGAACCTAGGGTGATTGCTTTTCTCTTTGCATTTTGGGGGTGTTGAAGGAGGCTGTAGGGAATATTTATAGTATTTTTGTGACCTGCTAGTGGGAAAACTTAGTGTTCCCTGACCCTTTTCCAACTAGGAAATCCTACTACTTTCTCACTCTTCCTGAGGAGCGATCTCTGTGAGGTGATTGTGTGACCGACAAATGGGTCCATAAAGGGCTTCGTTGGAGGCGGTTGTGGGTTAGACCGGGTCATAATTCAATTGGGCTCGGCCCTCACTTCTAGAAATATATATTCTTCCTCAAACTCCAGCAGCATATTTTGACTTTACAAAGTGCAGCAATGCGCATATTACCTTTCTTATGTTGCTACATTTATATATTAGTGACATGCCACTGCAATTTGTGCCACTAGTGCTCATAGAAACTCAAAAATGTGCCTATCAGTTGTTTTCTCTAGTGCTTCAAATTTTTGAGGAAGCCTTAAGTTTATTTATTCATGGAAACTCATAAGATAAGCCTATCCATTGTTGCACCAATGGATTCAATGTTTAGTGGACCATACATTTGGTTACAAATTCTTTCTTGAAAAGTGACACCACCTATTACCTGAAATGTCTTCTCTATGTGCCATGCACAGGGTCTAAGCTGCATCACACAGTTCCTACTAGCCTAGACATTCAACCTACCTGGGTAATTGTCCATGTTTGTAATTAAAACATTTAGGAAATGGTTGCTGGTGTTATGTGTTTTTATTGGAGAAAGTGTTATTGGGATAATAGAATATGTCTGTTTGTTTGAGGGACAACTAGGTATTAGACAATCAACCAAATGTTTGAGAAAGCAATAAACTTCCTTACAGTTTATTCTATTACTGCAAATGTCATTGCAATCGTGTTATGGTTTGAACTGTTGTTTTTATTGTATTCGTAACAACAACAACAACAAAGCCTTTATCCCAAATATCGTCACGGATTTCATGATAAAAGCTGAAAGAAAGAAGTTTATATGGATTAGCAATCCTAATATTCAACAAAAATAATTTTTTTCCTAAATTAATTGGTTTCCTCATCCATTAGTGGTGGTAACTAATAGAAAGTAGCCACCGATAGAAGAGTGGATTATGATGTATGTCCGAAATTGTTACTTCTTTTCTTCCCCCTTCAGGATCAAGTCATGAATTGTCACTTGCTTGGATAATCAGAACAAGCAGATCCCAGATTTACCCTTTCGCCTAGTTTTATCATTTGTGAGAGCAAGCTGAAACCTTGAGGAGGCAATAATATCCAAGAATTCTCCTTGCTGAGGGGATCTACTGCATAAATAGGTCAGGCAAAAATCCTGTAGCTACCCTTGTTTGTGGGAGGGATTATGGGAAAATGGTGGCCATTCTGACTTGTTCCGTGCGTAGCTCTGCTGCTGTTAGGCTGCTATTAGTAGGGAGGTTGCTTTTCTAAGCCTAGGGGCTATGTTGATGTGGGTGCGGACATGGACACTGGTGTAGATACGAGACACTATAAATTTGTAAAATGTAGTATACGGGGTCACGACTATATATATACTTATTGAAATTAATAATATATGAGATCGATATTGTTTTTTATTACATTTTATGAGAACTAAGTCCATATAAATTTTTTATGTTTCTTTTATTGAGTAGATTATGAATTGAAAAACTGCTCACTTTTGCACTAGATATCCAAATCATCATCTAAAATCATACTTATGAACATGATATGGGCTGAAATGAACCCGATCTGAGTTCAGCAAGTTGCATAAATTAGATGTGAAGTGTAAGATATTTGTCCAAGAAGTGCACCACGAGTGTTTTAAACTAAAACATGCACCACGAGTGTTTTAAACAAAAACATGTATTGTATAATTGGGCACATGTCTGCATAAATATATTTATATACTCAAGAAGTGTCCGACGTGGACACGGGAGTCAAGATGAAGTGTCCAGGTAACCTAGCCTAGGGGTTATATGATCTCCTTTCTGGTGGGATAACTTCAACTTTGCTTACGTACAATAGGACGATTTAATATCAAGGTATTACCCATTGACTATGAATCTTGACTGCCTTTTAGTTTCTCGTAGTTATATATTATTTGTTCGCATTATGCAGGTTTATTCACTAAAAGACGGCCCTATTCATGCTGCTTGGAAAACTTTAGGGATGCCCTGCATTATCCTGAGTATGGACATCAAATGTGAAGTAACTGTGGATTGGTCGGAGTAAGCTATTTAGCTATTACTTTTTGAGATTAATCTTTCATGTTATTGAGTCACTTTTGCTTACATGTTAACAATATGCAGCTTACCAGAAAAATTATTGTTTGATCAAGTTTTTAAAAATTTATTGTTTGATCAAGTTTTTTTTAATGTTTTCTGCAGCTACAATGGAATTATTATAAGTTCTATTGATGCCAGACCGGCAATTTCATGGTACATCTTCCACCTTTGATGCTTGTTTCTTTTTTCACATTCTTTATGTGGAATTTATGATATAGTGTTACTTTTATCAGCATAAGACCTAGAACTCTTTTGCATACAGTTTTAAGGCCTGCAATTTCACGTATAGTAGCATTTTTTATCTCATGTTATGTGACTAGGGTTGAAACAGTCTGGTTTTGGTTCTTCAGAACTTCATATGTAATCTATAAACATATTCTTGTTCTGTTACCTCTAGCTAGTCAAACTTGTTTCTTGTTATGAGAATGCTCTCGTATATGCCATCTTCACCTTTATTATCATAATTCAAGAATCCATTGAAAAGTCTGGTCGTTTTACACTTCTAGTGAATTTGCAAAGTTTGAGATGTTAATTATTGTATATGTTGCCATTTTGACACCTAAAAGCTCCTGGGGGATAAATTCATATGAACTAGTAGTTAGTCGTTCCTTTGGCAGTTTGCCTTATCGGAAAGAAGACGAGCAGTTTCCATGGGTTTTAGAACTCCTGAAAAATGAATGGCCCCAAGAATATCCCAGAGCACAGTAATGTTGATTATTCAGTATGCTGGCCTTCAGCAAGCAGGATTATTGTCGCCATAGATGAAGATAAACACACATTTCTTTCATGAAAGAGTCCATTTTTGCTGCCTTCTTGATTATGTGCACTCTTTTTGTTGAAAGACACTTAAGTTCTTGAGTGGAATTGTGAAGGCTCTCAAGCAGTTATCTGCTTCATTCTACATATGCAATGAGAACTGGAATTTAACATATCAATAGGAAGTTCCAGAAGAACCTTTAGCAAGCAAGAAGAGATGTGTTCCTAGATAGAGATGATTAGCTGTGTTTTAATGAAAATTTGTGCTTGAATCCTGATCCTGTGTGCTCTTGACGACAGTGAATTGCTCTATTATTTATACATTTTGTTTGTTGGTATTATTTGATTTTTCTTGCTTTGGTTAACTAACATCAGTTGAACCAGAAAACTCCTTAGGAGCAGAGTTCTTGCAGCTGATGCTCAACTCCTGTCTTGATGATGAACGTTTTATGTATGCTTATCTGTTACTGACATCATTCAAAAGAGAATATTAATGTAACTCTACAGTCTTTTGCAGGAGCCTTTCAAATCAATACCTGTTATATGGATCATACATGAATATAGTCTAGCTCTTCATCTAAATAAATATACTGCAAATGGTCAAAGTCCACTCATCAGCGATTGGAAGCAAGCTTTTAACAGAGCAGCTGTTGTAGTATTTCCAACTTATTCTTTGCCGGTAATATGCACAAGCAGTTCGTCTTTAAGAATGTAGGAATTCCGGTAAAGCTGTGTGGTTAATTTGTTTTGTATATGTTAATTTCTTTCTTACAATCCAGGTGATGTATTCAACATTTGATGCGGGTAATTATTTCGTTATTCCAAGTTCTGCTACTGAAGCATGGAGAGCAAGGGTTTTATTTCCCGTGCAAAGTGGGCATGATCTGCGAGCTAAAATGGGGTTTGGAACTGAGGATTTTCTCATTGCTGTTGTGGGAAGTCAATTCTCATATAGTGGCATGTGGTTGGAGTATGCACTAGTCTTACAAGCATTGGCACCAGTTTTCAAAGAGATGACTTCTGAAGGCACTTCTTATATTCCGTTAAAAGTTGGAATTTCAAGTGTGAATTCATCTGATGCACACAAGATGGCTCTGGAGGTTGCAATATTATTAACGTTGTTAGTTCTTAATGTTTATCGCTCTTGACCTTTTTCTTTTCTCTTTGTGCTTTGTGGTGTCTGTTTATTCGAGGTTGTTTCTGTAGGATCTGAAATAGATACACTAGAACACTAGAGGGGGGTGATTAGTGTTCTTTTAAAATTTATGCAAAGTAGATTATAAATTGCAAAGAAAAATGACAATCTCAGAAATTCAATTATAAATTGCAAAGAAAAATGACAATCTCAGAAATTCACAATCACAAACACAAGGATTTATACTGGTTCCACCAATCCGGTGTACATCCAGTCCCCAAGCAAATCCCGCTTGAGAGTTTTCACTATGATTTTGAATAAACTTAAAAAATCAAAAAACAAACCTGACCAATTTGCAAGTCCCTGCAAATTGCAACACCAATTGACAAACACCTTGCCAATTTGCACACCAATCTCTAAACCAAGAGATTAACACCTCTCACAACTTGAGAGAACTTTTGAAGCAACAATTTTAATTCCTATAAGCATTGATTTGTAGTGTAGTGTAGTAGTGGCTTAGGAATGATTCTAACTTCTATAAATTGCCTAAACAATAAGTATTTGAATAATGTTCAAAGGCAATTTCAGAAACTTTTCTTTTTCTCAAAATCTGAATATTTTTCACTTGAAAAAATGCACAAAGATCAAAGCTTATGGGTATGTAAGTCTCTGTATTTTTTCTGAACTGATAACCTATTTATAGCCCTTGAAAAGATAATTTTTTGAACTTTAAAAACGTTTAAAAACGGCTATAAACAGTCACAAATTCAAACTTTGAAATCTGAAAAAACTGTATCTGTAGTCGACTACAATACAGATTAGTCGACTACACTGAGTTCAAACAGACTCTGTGTATTCAGAAAATTTCTCAGTAGTCGACTACAATGCTCATTAGTCGACTACACTGTATTTTGACAGAAACTTATAAAATAAAATTTGCCTTCAGTAGTCGACTATATTGTTGATTAGTCGACTTGTGTGTGTGTGTGAGTGATCAAGGCTTGTACAATAATTCTAAGTAAAGAAATTGTAAAATACATTTTCTCATATGTTCTTCATCTTCTTCACTTCATAATGCCTTGAAATCAACTTGCACTTGTTCATATTTTGATATTGAAATCTGCATATAAAAGTTAGTGCATTTGTATAACACACATTGTATAAATTGTTATCATCAAAATACTATCATGGAGATATGATATTCAACATTCTCCCCCTTTTTGATGATAACAAATAATTTATGCATAAGTATGTATTTTATAATCAGGTTTAAACATAATGAAATAATCATACTTACTCCCCCTGCATATATGCAAATTTGAGTCTATAACAATACATAACAATACATCTATTTCTCCCCCTTTGTTATCAACAAAAAGAGGAAAATATTTATGCTAAACATGACATTATTTCTTCAACATGAGCTAAAACTTCAAACAAATCATCCAGGTTATGAACATAGTCCATAACTTCACCCATCCAAATAGGTAGGCAAAGACTTGCCATAAAAACCAAAAGTTCCACAATGTTCATCACCATGATCTGTTTAAAATATGTAGCACATATATTAACTAACCAAACATCATCATAGATAATTAAACACACAATCAACATACTTGACATAGTAGCAACATAAATAACATATTACATAAGTCCTAACATCTCACAACTACAAAGTTTTTGATACTTAAATAAAATAACATAATTGTTTTGAAACTTAACATAAAAACATCCTAAGGTGCTGGAGGAGGTTGCTGTCGTTGAAAATATGCATTAAGCTTTGTGTCCAAGTCTTCAAACTTCTTGATTAGCTCTTCTTGATTACTAATGATATATGAATTCTGAGAATATAGAGCTCTTTGACCAGTTTCAAGTTCAAGAATACGTGCACTTATAGTGTTGTATTGCACGTCTGAAAAGCATGAGGGTTCTGTAGAAAATGGTGGTGGTTGACTAGAAGAAGCTCCTGCTTGAGTTGAAGATTGTGGAATATCTTATGAAATTTCTTCTTGAAGAGGTTCATTTTGAGGATTTTGTTCTTGAATTTCAAAATTTGTCAACTTCATCCTAGTTAGGGCATTGGAATCAAAGAATTTAATGGAACGGACAACAGAATTTTCAGATTGGAGATCCACATGAAATTTGTCAAAGATTTTTATTAAAAAGGCACCATAAGGAAGAAATCCTCTTGGTATAGTCAGAAGATTATCAAAGTAAACTTCAGCCCAATTAACTTGGATATTTCCCATTATAGCATATAGAGCTTTTGCTAAATCTAGGGAAATGAAATAAAAACTCTCAGTTTTTGAAAATAGGTTATAAGCTAGGATTCGTGCAATGAACCTAGGAATTGGACGAAGTTTGTTTGAGTTATTTAAAGGTTTGTCATATCCAGGAAGAAATATATGATTAGATAAAAGATCAGAATCATTCATCCTAACTGACCTAAGAGAAACTCCTTGATAAGGAATATTAAAGATTTTTCCAATTGACTTTGTAGTTAAGTCAATCTCTATTTTTTTAACAAGAATCTTAAGTTTTTCAGAACCACCTATAGTTCCCACACGTTCTATATTAGTATAGAACAGTTGCACAAGAAATGGATATGTGGGTTTTTTATTTTCAGCAGAGAATAATTCAAGCAATCCCATATTTTTAAAATATGACCAAAAATTTCAGGGAATAAAATCATCAAATTTCACAAATCGTCCTGGAAGAACTTCAAAAGATGATATTTTGTTAAATTCTTCTAATAAATCAGGACTTTTTAAATAAATGATGATTTCATCATTGACAAAGGTATGGGTTTGCTTAGCTTTCTTAGATCTAGACATGATGAAACAAATAAATAGCCAAAAATTCAAAGATCAAGTTTAGAAATATACCCCAAACTGTTTGAAACCCTAGATTAGTCGACTTTAGCTTGGATTAGTCAACTACTGATCTTGAATGCTTTGACAGATATGAAAGAAAATTGAAGAATTTGATGAAGAATTTGAGAAGATTGAAGATGCCCTAACCTGGAATCGACAGATCTGAAGGGAGGAAGAAGATAGTCGGTTTTTAGATAGGTTAGTGGGTAGTTTTTAGATTTTTATTTTATCTTTTAAAATAATTTACAATGTATGGTTCAGATTTGATAGTGAATTAAATGTAGGGTTAAGATTTGATCTTATATATGTGGCTAGGATTGATAGAGTTAAAAATCTATGGTTGAGATAAGTTTTACTTAACTGAAACGGCTATTGGGTATTGGGTTTGAAATTAAATAAAAATCCAATAAGCTTTAAAACTGTAAAACTGAGAGTTCAGAATCAGTAGTCGACTAATAGTAAAAGTAGTCGACTACACTGTAATCAACAGAAAGATGATTTTAAGTTTTTAACTCAGAGTAGTCGACTAATCTGTATTGTAATTAGTCGACTACTAAGAGTAGAAATTATGAAATAAAAGATTTTTATACTCAAGTTTTAACTATAATTCTAATGGTTAACATAGGGGATTTCTATAGTTAGTGTATTCTAATATTGTGTGTGTGCGTGTGTGTGATCAAGGCTTGTACAAAAATTCTAAGTAAAGAAAATGTAAAATACATTATCTCATATGTTCTTCATTTTCTTCATTTCATAATGCCTTGAAATCAACTTGCACTTGTTCATATTCTGATATTAAAATCTGCATATAAAAGTTAGTGCACACATTGTATAAATTGTTATCATCAAAATACTATCATGGAGATATGATATTCAACAGTTTCCTTCTTTCGTTTCAAAATTTTGATATAATTTTATATTCATTTTTTGTAGACCATGACTTTAAAAGTTGGTTATCCGGGAGGCAGCGTGCAGCTTATTGCTTGTAACACCAATGAAATTAATTTCCTTGGTACAGCTAACCTTGTGATATATGGGTCATTTCTCGAGGAGCAGTCCTTTCCACCAGTTTTACTGCAAGCTATGAATCTTGGAAAACTGGTTGTTGCTCCTGATCTCAACATGATTAAGAAGCATGTGAGTGTTAATTAGGAACATTTCTTTTATCCTTCTCATTCTACTTTTCAGCCTAGCTCCCCCTCTCTCATGTAGACAGGAAACTGACTAATCTCTAAATAATCTTTAGATTAATGACAAGGTAAATGGATTTCTTTACTCGAAAGAAGATGTTGGCATGCTGAAGCAGATTTTACTTCAAGCAATTTCAGGAGGAAACCTATCTCCTTTGGCCCAGGAGATAGCAGCAGTTGGCAGAGAGCATGCCAAAAACTTAATGGTTCCCGATACAATTCATAGTTATGCATCATTATTGGAAAATGTAATCAAGTTTCCATCAGAAATTGCTACTCCAAAGGCTGTTGAAGATATGGCTTCAGGAGTAAGAGAAGAATGGCAGTGGCATCTATTTGAAAATTTCACAGATGTAAACAATTTGAATAAAGCTTTAGAAAATTATGGAATGGTGGACAAGATTGAGGAGCAATGGAATCAGACCCATAATGAAGGTTCTACTAGTACCTCACGGGTGGATGAAGCTTTCTCCTCGATAACTTGGGAAGAAGAAAAGATGATTGAGGCGGTAAATGCAAGAAAGAGAATAGAAGAAGAAGAGGTTAGATATGCCAATTATTGCATTTTCAACTAATGATTTTCCCCCTTTTCTAATAGTCATTTGATATCTTGTAATCTGTGAAAACCTGATGTAGTTGAAGAGCAGGACTGACCAATATCATGGAACCTGGGAGGACGTTTACCGTAATGCTAAAAGAGCTGACAGAGCTAAGAATGAATTACATGAAAGAGATGACAGGGAGCTCGAGCGGACAGGTCAGCCCTTGTGTATATATGAGCCTTATCTGGGGGAAGGAACCTGGCCTTTTCTGCATAATACATCACTATATCGTGGAATAGGTTTGGTAAGTTATCATCACACACAAATACTTTGTGAGACATTTTCAGCCTGAAGTAAACATTTATGGCACTCCAGATATCTCTGGTTGTCACATTATATTTATTTAGTTTCCAAATATTTCAACTACACTTAAGATATCAAATGATCGACTAAATTTAAAGAGTAGACTGTCAATGGTCTTCTTATTACTTGGTTCATGTTCTTTGTATTACTCTATGTCACCTGGGTACTTCTGTCATGAAGCTGTACCCGTAACCGTGCCTTGCCCGTACCTGGCACTTCTTGGACAATCCTTAGGTATATGCATACATCTATTCCATGTACTTAATTATACAATACATGTTTTAATGTAGAACGCCTGTAATACACTTATGTACCCTCCACTTTTACATTTTTTTGAAACTTATTGGACAATGGTCAAGTTCATTTCAGCCGTAAAAACTATGATTCTGAAGGGTCGTTTGCTTATCTAGCATATAACTATGATGTTTCAGCCATGCCCCCTACCCTACCTTTCATAAATTAGCCATGTCCCTTGACAGTATCCATGCCAATGTATTAAATATCGGTCGATAAATCAATATTATCGACGATTTATTGGTTTTTGGGACCTTCCGCTATGATAAGTTTGATTTTAAATCGGTTATCGTTTATGGATGTTTATCGGTGATAATGCGGCGATAAAATGAGTTATTAGCCGATATTGTCGGCTCAAAATATTAGAATTATCAGCCTTTGGTTTGTGTTTGGATGTTTAAGAATTATAAACTATTTGTTGCTTTTGGAACTTAGTTGTTTGGTGATTAACTTATGTTTATTTATGAATATTAACATGGCTCATAACTATTAAATCTCAACTTAGTAAATTAGTTTATAATCTCATGATTACACAATAATTATGTTGATGATTCTTCATTTTTTATGTTATCTTGTTAGTTGCTTGTATGTTATTCCATTTTTACTAACTATGCACTCGAATGGTTTCATCCTGTAATCAAGAAGCAAGTTTTTACCATTGGTTAGTGATCCTAAACATGATTATTTACATTTTGGTATGCTTATATTTCATTAAGTATGGTTAGATTACATTTTAGGATATTATATTATGTATATACACCATCCGGTAATATCACTCCGATAAATACTACTTATCCCCGATATATCCCCGATATCCACTATCCGATATGGATTTTGACCATATGATAAATCCCCGATAACCGATATTTAAGACCTTGATCCATGCAACTTAGCTATTACCTGTTCTCTTTTACCTGCTTCTGAAATTTTTATTTGCAGGTTTTGCTATTTACCACCAGCTCTTATGATACTATGTATGTTAGTTATAATAATTCTTCATACAAGTTACATATTGATTGTCATCAACAGCTTTGGATTAAGTTAAAACTTACTATGACTGCTATTCATTTGTCTCTGTTCTTAATTTTAGTACTCTAAAGGCCGTAGACGAGGGGCAGATGATATAGACGCTTCGTCTCGGCTCCCACTCCTTGTTGATTCATATTACCGCGATGTCCTTGGTGAATATGGAGCATTTTTTGCTTTAGCTAATCGAATTGATCGCATACACAAGAACGCTTGGATTGGGTTTCAGTCTTGGAAAGCAGTGGCAAGAAAGGTATATTTATGCATACTCTTTTATGACAATCTTATGTGATAATGAGTTTACTAGCATAAACCTCACTTTCTTGTTTTTCAACATGCACACACTACTGTTCAGTTAGCGGATGAATAACTAACTCTGTTTCCATTATTTAGGGTCAGGTTGAACTTTTGGTTCTTTTTCTAGATGAATATAGTTACCTGGAATTTAGGATCATGTGGTGGTTGGGCTCACAAAATCATAAACTCTTAATCTGGTCAAGCGTGCATATGGTAGAATTGGGCTTAAACCTAATAAAACATGATTGATATCAGATCATATAAATTTAGTCAAGTATTTCGGTCTAAGTTATAAAATCACAAATCAAAATTAAACAGTTCCTAAGTAAATGGACACATTGCAATATTAACTATAGTCCCAGACCTGATCCCCTTTAACCTCCATGCTTCATATTGTATCTAAAATTTATTGGTGTCATATTATTTATTCGTTTATTTCATACTATGAACACTTCTCGATATAACCGACCATATTGTAGATATCATCTGAACATTTACTGTTTTTGTTATTTAATGAGAGAAACGACCAGTTGAGATGGTTAGACCACGTGCAACAGGGGCACACTGGATGCACCAGTTAGAGAAGCGATAAAAATTAATGGGGAGGGAAGAGTAGAGGCAGGCCAAAGAGAACTTGATTAGAAATAATTAAGATGAATATAGTAGGGAATAGTTCATTCAATGGAGCTGATGATCTTTAATAAAATTCAATGAAAGAATATGATTCATGTCGATGACCCTTCAAAATTAGGGATAAAGGCTTTTTAGTGGTCGTTAATGTATTTCAAAGTAGTTTAGCAATTGCAAGCATATAGTGATCTTGGTTTTATATTGCTCAACCTGAGGGAAGGAGGAATAGAGTACGCCTATGAGAACTTGGTTGGAAACTATTAAGAAAATTGTAATGATATATACTTGATGGAGGCAATACCCCTAAATAGAATTGAACAGAAGAATGTGATTCACGTCGGAGACACTCAAAAGTTTGGATAAAGGCTTTGTTGTTGCCATTGTCATATTTTAATGTAGTTTACCACTTGCGAGCATATGGTGAAGTTTTATATTGCTCGGGTTGAGGCGAACAACACTGCTCTTAAGGTTTAGCCCAGTGTCATCATGTTTGATTTCTATTTCTTTCTATGGACCAGATAAAAAATGTCCTGGCGAAAAGCAATATTAAGATAAAAAAGTCCAAGGTCGTGAGTATTATTTTTTATGACCATAATTATGAAAATAACAATTAAGAACTGGAATACTTGTCTTCTTGTGAATTTTTGTTTTATGTATTAATTTAAAATGAATTCTGGTCTACAATGGTTTGTTTCTGAGTAACTGAATAATTATTTTAGTTATCAAGAATCCTGAAGCCAGATGATTTACGGAGAGAGTGTAATTGTTTCTTGTAATTGGCATAGGAAATTGTTGTTTCCTAACAATTGTAATGGCAAATATCTGCTTTAACTATTGTTTCTTATCAAAGCTATTGCATGAACTGAGAAAGATATCTGCTTCTGTTAATTACAGGAAAGCCTATCTGTGAGGGCTGAGGCTGCACTCCTTGAGGACATCCAAGGGAGAAGGCATGGGGATGCCCTTTACTTTTGGGTTCGCATGGACAAGGATCCAAGAAACCCTCTTCGACAAGATTTTTGGTCTTTCTGTGATGCCATAAATGCTGGAAGCTGCAGGTCCGACTATCTTTTTACATTTGAACTGCTTTTTCTTTCAAAGAAACTCAATAATGTTTCCTTCCATCTAGCAAAATGAACTTTAATGACTTACAGGGAGAATTGTGATGTTTGGCTTTAGACAATAAGTGGGTCCACTGCCTAACATTTTAATGTGCGAAGGAGTTTTGTGACGTTCCCTTTAAATATGTCAGCTTTTGGAAGAAAAATACAGCTTTCCAGCCATATATGATGTCCTCACCTGTCTTCTGTTACATCAAAACTTTGAACTTGTGGTGAAGGTTAGAAGTTAAAATTTCAAAGATTAATATGTCCCTGTGGGATGAGTGCCCTTCTCATGGGACTGCAACATGAGCTATTTTGCAGTGTTAACTTTTTTTGCTTTGCTTCTAATGTGCATATGGTGGGATTTGAACTTGGATTGCTATGATACCATCTCATAGTCATTTAATCTGTACAATTTTCACGAGGTAGGAATTCGGTAAGCTACTCCCATGATCACTATTTCATTGGGTAGGAATTTGGTACAGTTTAGAGGGTTGATGTCAAGTTGAAAGGAAGCGTAAAAGTTTGCCAAATCTTTGATGTAGTTCTGTGCTCTATAGTGGACCTTGTTTTAAAGGGGAGAAAAGTTTCAGTTATGGTAATGGTATACCTCTTTTTTGTATGTTTGACAATTTCTAGAAACAAACTTAAGTTAAATATGTTAGGAAGCAAATGGTGATGGTTGTTTAGAAATGTAAGCTGGATAGCTTTTGAGATATTTGCAAAAACATCATTCAAATATGAGACATCCAAATTTGCGAGTGGACCTCGTGTAACGTAAGAAAAAGAAAATGTTTTCGAGGTAAGAAGTTGCACCTACTTTTTTCTTTCCGTATTAACTTTAGGAACAACATAGTGTTTCTTTTTATTTGGTTTGGTAGTCTAATGGGACCAAAGAAGACACCTTTGGACCTTGAAAACAATGGTACAATAAGGAACTCCTTGCCATGAAAATTACCCAAATTAAGGTGGATATTTTAATTAAAGTCAATGGAAGTAGGGAGAAGGGAAAATGAAACGAACTAGTCTTGATGACCCAAACATAACATTGTTCTCTTCGGCAAAATGAAGTCGCCCAACTTTTGCCTGCATATGGAATAAAAACTCAATAAGGGTTAACGTTGCATGGATACAGGTATGGGTGCTGGCATGGATGTGGGTACAGGACACCGCAAATTTGTAAAAGATAAGGTACAAGGACACGACTATTTAGATATTTATATACGCATACATATAGTACATATTGAAATTAATAATTTACGTGAGATCAATATTGGTATTCGTTCACGTGTTATGAGACCTAAAATTCCTATAATATTTCTATGTTTCTTTTATTATATGGATTATAAATTGGAAAACCATCATTTTAAAGCTAGATACCTAAATGACCCTTTAATAGTTCAAAACTCAACCTATGTTCAACGAGTTTTAAGAAGTGGGTGTGAAGTGTAGAATATGCGTCCAAGAAGTGGGTGTGAAGTGTAGAATATGCGTCCAAGAAGTGTATGAGAAGTGTTCTAACTTAAAACATATATCACATAAGGAGTATAAGCCTGAATGAATGTATTCATATGTGCAAGGAGTGTCCAAGGAGTTTACGAATACGGGTATGGTTACGTGCCGGACACGGATAGAGCTTCAATTAGGAGTACCCAGGTAACATAGCAAACAAGTATAGCTTCTAATAAATTGTATATCATAAACATTTGGGCAAGATTATAGGGATATTTCACCTTTAGGTTAGGCAACTCAATTTTGAAATGCATTTTCATCAATGAACTAAAACTGAAATAAGAGAGAATACTTCGTGCTCTGACGAAGTGTAGAATAGGTTATCATTTTTTTTCCTTTGAAGTTTTTTGTCTGTGCTTTACAGTCACATTAAATGCTCCTCTATGCTTTTAATTCTTTGAAGGTTTGCTGTGTCTGAGGCTCTTCGAAGGATGTATGGTATAGACCTAAAACATAATTTGGATACATTGCCGCTAATGCCGGAAGATGGAGATTCTTGGTCTGTCATGCATAGCTGGGCTTTACCAACAAGGTCTTTCCTCGAGTTTGTCATGTTCTCGAGGTAAGTTTATCAATTATTGGTTACTAAATACTCTTTGTTGTTTGATTTTGCTAATCCATGTCCCACAGGTGCTATATTTGCACTTAAAGCATTCTTAAGGTTTGCACCAACTTGTATGAGTTATACAACATGGAAACTGAATTATAACATCTTCAATTGACGGATGGATCCTTGAACATATATAAAGATCTTCCAAAACTCGCATGACATCACTTAAAAGGTTTTGATATGTAGTCATATGTTATCCTATCCATGCCAGGCGATTGTTGGTTGTAGGATGTCTACTCTTTCTTCATTGTCATTTTAGTTTTAGGTTTTGTTTCATGACCAGCTCGACTTCATGGGAATTAGATGACGATCCTATCTTGAGGTAGAATCATCCTCCATCAAGAGCTAGGCGTACTGACCAAGGCCTAGTTCTTATGAAATCATATCATTCACCTATTTATGGCTCTTTCTAGATTTTTTAAAAATAAATTATTGAATGAAATTTTATTGGATTTTTTTCTTTTAGGAATAAAAAACAAACTAAATTTGTCTTTAGTTGGTCCGGAATATTAAGCAAGGTGTAACACTGGACATGCATCTTTTGTTTCTCTCTCAATAATCTTACATTCTTCTACCATTTTTCAGGATGTTTGTAGATGCCATGGATGCTGAGATGTATGACCAGCACCATCAAAGTGGTTATTGCTATTTGAGTTTAACAAAGGTATTCATTCATCTGAGTTGCTGCATTGTCACTGCATGTGACCTTACTGATCAAATTCCTAGTAGACCAGCCAGTTTGGCACTGTTAACTTAGAAATTAAATATTTTTCTCAGTGAATTGATAGTTCTTCTCATTGATTCTAACAGGGAAACCACGTGTAAGTCACATACTAGTATCTATTGAACTAATGATATGCTGCCTGAGCTTTACTCAATTACTAGTATTGAGTGTGTGACCCATCCATAATCAATACAAGTTGCAAACAAAGATCTTAAGCCTTCTACAAAATGAGTTTATGTATGAAATGCACAGAGAAAAGGTGAAATATGTATTTGTAAAGCAAACGAATGACATGCATAAAATTTAATTAAAAATTTTAATAGGTATTCAAGCTTAGAATTTGGTATAATTATTTAAAGCAATTAAGTTAAAACGTTATAAGGTTCTATCAAGTTAGAACCTTAATCTGGTAAAGTTTTCAAAGAGTTGGAGGTTAACTTCATTATGTGGGTAGATGGCCCAAGCTGGGGCGTGCTTAAGACGTGCTCAAGACTAGTGTGTAGATATATGTCTGGTGTCCTTGTCCACATAGCAAAAAAACTCATCTCAAGGACTATTCTTTCTGATGATAAGGTTTTTCTGCCTGTTTCTAGAAATTGCATGATGCCTCTTGTTTCCTTTTTGTAGTTCTAAGTAGTTATCAATGTTATCTCTCTGCTTTTTCTTTAATTTGGCGCTGATTTAATGGTCTCTTAAGTATTTCATACCTTATGCGTTGTTTGCACAATCAACTTCCACTGAATCCTACACTACTGAATACCTCAGGACCGTCAGTGCTATTCTCGTGTACTTGAGCTACTCGTTAATGTGTGGGCATACCACAGTGCTCGTCGGATGATAAGTGTGGATCCTGAGACAGGCGCAATGCAAGAACATCACAAGTTAAAGAACAGGAGAGGTCACATGTGGGTCAAATGGTTCTCTTTTGCCACTCTCAAGAGCATGGATGAAGAGTTAGCAGAGGAATTGGATGTTGATCATCCTCATAGGCGATGGCTCTGGCCTTTAACCGGTGAGGTATTTTGGCAAGGAATGTATGAGAGAGAGCGAAACATGCGCCATCAACAGAAAGAAAGGAGACGGCAACAGAGCAAAGATAAGATTCAAAGAATAAGGAAGCGGGCTCGCCAAAAGACTCTGGGAAAGTACATAAAGCCTCCTCCAGAGACCACTGGTGATTTAAATGCAACTAAAACTCACTGATCATTGTTTGCACTGATTAACTAATTCTTACTCCACCATTTTCTAGTTCTTTTCTTCTTTTGTTCTCTTTCTTCCCATTGAAGGATTTGTGTCCATGTGATTAGTTTGTATTCTTTCCCTCTTCAGTTTTGTGTAGATGTGCATCCTCAGTGCTACTAAGTATTGGATCATAAGCAATGGTTATTTGAAATGTAAATCTTTATTCTTTTCTTTTTGTTTGTTTCTCTCAGTTTTAAAATCTTTTGATTGACCGGCACAAATTTTGTAGTTCCAGTTCTTAAATACTTGTAGATGCTTTCAGCATCATTTAACTTTTAGTGAACCTCTTTGGCAATATTTTGTTCAAGTTAACGTTCGAGCTATTTGATTGCTGGAACAATGTGATCTTGTGACGGGTTTTGGGTTGATATCCCTTTTTCTGCATGATTATTATTTTTTAGTTTTTTTATTGGAAAATGAACTGAAAAGAGGAGGAAGAATGGGCGAATGGGTCTCTTTATCTTGGAAACTGTTTATTGTACATCTAATTTAGATCACACTTTTTTTTCCCATACATATGATTGTTGACATTTCTCCTCTCCAAATCTTATTTAATGTCTCGTTTGGTACGTGGGAACGGAGTGAAGTACACAGGAATATGGTTAAGTGAGAATGAGATGAATGTAGGAATGAAATGCTATTAATATTAGAAAGGAATGCTTATTCACGATTAGAAAATTAAGTGGAATCTTTAAGAAGGGTATATTCAAAAATTATTTTTTTATTTTTATTTTCACTTAAATGGGAATATAAATTTCTTGATAACTCATTGGGAATAGCAATTCTCATATTAAGTGGGAATTTATGAAAAGTGAGAATGACATTTCTAGCATTCAAATATACATTATGTATGGCAATCATGAATGAGAAGTTAGAATTGCATTTTACTCTCACTTATTCCCGCATACCAAACAAGGCATAAGGTTTGTATGCAACAAGTCTATTTGCCTCTTTAAAAATAGATGCTTGAAATTTTCATACACAAAAATCTGTATATTCTCAATCAACAGTGACACACTAAAATCAACACTCTCTTTACAGAAACTAGAGAAAGAATGCTTAGATTTAAACCATGCAAATATACAGAATGCAAAGAAAAGAAAAATGAAGAAACCATAGCCTAAATCTGAAGGGGGGAAAAGCCAATTTTCATCCAAGAGCCAGATAAAAGATCAAATGAAGAATCATAACAGACTAATCAAATAACAGACTAACCAAACTCACTAATCAAACTATATGATAAAATTTAAGAATCTAGCGTGTTCACGCTAGAATGTACTCTAAAATTTCGCCAAATAACAATAGATCAACTAAAGAATCATAACAAACTAATCAAACTCTATGATAAAATTTAAGAATCTAGGTTGTTCACACTAGAAATGTACCCTAAAATTCAAACTTCTTTTTATAGAGAAAGACTGCTAATACTTAAATTCAACCGGTGACACAAAAATCAAAGAAAGCAAGAAAGAAATAAAAATCACAATTCTAAATTCAAACCTGCATCCAAATTGAAAGAACAAAAAACCACTACGCAGCCAAGAACCACAACAGAGTCATCAAACTCTATGGCCATAAGCAATATCTAACACAAACTTCTCATGATTCACGCATAGAGGAAGAACTGAGCCTTGCCTACACAAGAAATGTACCCAATCTTGAACCCAACATAACATTCTTAATTTCAATATTTACCAAGCCTCATTCCTCCTTTAATCAAGAACACTCACGAATCAGTCACCAACCAAAAACTTGTGCCCCCCAACTCAAAATAAGCAAAACTAAGCCTCAAAACAAGCTTATGCTTCGACGTGCTCTGCGCTCAACGGCCATTTCCCCAGTCACTCTCCTTCACCATTCTCACCCCAAATATCTCCTCCATCAATTCTCTCTGCCCAAAATCTCTCATCTCCTCCTCCCCTATCCTCTTCGCTTCCAGCTCTCGAACATGGAAAAACCCTCGAAATCTTAACCCCATGATCATACTTAACCCCCTTCGCCATTTCTTGATCCCAAAACCAACGAAACCCCAATCGAATCTCGTTTCTTCTCTTGCTGGTGGTGTTTTGTTTTTCTTGGTTCTTGTAGTGCTTTGAGGTTTGCGGTGCGGGTGAGAGCTGAGGATGGAGTTGACCCAATAATAATATTATTGGATGTGAGAGATTTGAATAGGAGATTGGAGGGAGAACAGATTGATGAGTTGGGGTCGGGTCGGGTTAATGGATCCAGATCCTCTTATTAATAAAATTGGCTCATAGCAGAGACCCAAGCGTGGGATCCATTGTGTGGGCTTTTGGTCTTGTTAGTAAATTGTTATTATATGTTGTATGAATTATGATCCCGAGAGAGCTTACCTAATGTTGTATTTATCATGAGCTAGATTTATCCTATTTGCATAGGTAAGATGGATCGCAATTATCCATTAAAAAATGGATTATTGTCATTAGGTAGCATGAAAATATGGAGATACTTAAAATTTTCTGATGTCTTGCAAAAAAAAAAATTTAATAAGCTTTTAGTTTTGCCAATATTTTGCTAAGGCTAATTCGCACTCACGTACCCTATAATTTCCCCTATTTTGCATAAGTATGAACTCAGTTATTTTTTTCTCTGCACATATATAACTTAAAGTTCGCAAATGAGTGGTCAAGATATTAGTTGTGGTGAGATCCACACGGCATAAAAGCCTAAACATCATAACATCTGGTAGCTCATTTTGTTGAATGAGGCGAGTATATGCGTGTGTTGATGTTAAGTGATCACACAGTCAGTTATATCTGTGGTTTGATGGGGTTGTTCAGTATTGATGAGGGGTCGTTTTCTTCCCCGACTTTATGTCTTGTTCTTGAGTTGTGTTGCTGAAAATCCTGCACATGTAGGAATTTGTTAGAGGATGGGGCTTGGATCCCCCGTGGTTCCTCTGACGTTCAAGTCAGATATTGAACTTGAGTGAGGAAAAATGAAGAACTGTGAGAATTATTGTGTGTGTAATATGTCTGTTTAAAGATCAGATGAGATCAAAGGACCAAGAAGATCAAGATCCCAGATAAGATTAGATCAGAGACAATTTACAGATACAAAAAAGTCCCTCTTATGTTCGAATAATACTTGCATTTATACCGAGGGTATAATGGTAGATTGATCACTTCAGCTGAGCACAGGATGACGGTGACGAAGTGTGGGCTGGCAGCTGAGTCAACATCTACTTTACAGGTGTCGGCTAGCGAGTGGGGGAAGGATCACTTCAGCATTAAACGAGAAGTGATTGGCGGTATGGTGGTGCCTACGTGGTCCGATGAGTCATGAAGACTATCGGGGCCAGAGGCATGATACGTTTGTCATGCATTAAATTTGACATGTCGCCAGCGGGAAAGGATCGAGACAAAAGTTGTCCTTTAACTTTATCGAGAAGTAACGCCTTTCGAGTCGTCCTCACGAGGCGTCCAGTAAATGGTCGAGTATGCTCGTGACCAGTCGTCTTCGACAAAAGGGTCGACTGATACCGCCTTTTGGGTTGACGTTAAAGAATGTCGACTCGACAAGTCGGCTAAGTCGAAATCTCCGTTGGTCTCTGGCCGCCAACTTGATTGGGGCGTTGCATGCATAAGTGCACGTATCTGTTACTTGGCAATGAGTTGCACTTTAGCGAATGAGAACACCATAATAGTTGGCCCCTTTCGCTTGGAGCCGGCTTGAGCCAAGTCTGAGTGAAATCAAATTAGTTTTGGACGAACGCGGGTGTGTAATGGATGAGAAACTAAAAATTCTCTTCAGATTTGACGTGACTGACGTCACCGACATCACCACACAATTCGTTTGACTGCCACAGCTCTATTTTTCTTGGCAGATTGCGGGCTGTTCGAGGTTAGTGGGCTGCGCCTCGATCTCATAGAGGGCGCTTCGGATTCTGAGAATCAATCCTGGCCGTTGGATAGGTTTGGATCCGACCATTCAAATTCTGATGGTTGTAAAGCCACCTACCTATATATAGGAATAGGGCCATAAGGGTAGCGGTTGCTATCTTTTCAAATTCCTTTGAGAGAACTCAAAAATCTTCTCCGTTCATCTTTTCAGGCGATCATTTCTACAATCATCAATAGCGTCTGAGCATGTTGATCGACGAGCTCTCCTGGCAGGGATTCACTCACAGGTGCCTCTGGCCCAGAAGAGGACAATCCATAGGAAGTTTGATGCCCCTGAGGAGTATGAGTTGTTGGCCCCGATGAGGTCAGAGGTCATATATGATCATGGGCCGGAGCAAGGTCCGCTCTACTAGAGGCATCTGTAATTTGGCTTGCGGTTGCCTCTACACCCTTTCCTCAAGCAAGTATTCACGGCGCTGGGGGTATCGTCGGCGCATATGAAGCCAAACACCATCGCTATCCTGGTAGGGTTCGTGGTGATCTACCACTGGCTAGGGATAAAGCCATCCTTGTGGGTCTTGAGCCGATTAGTAGTAGTGAAGGTGAACCAGATTGAGCCCCACTTCCAGTTTTAGATGGTGGGGAAGTTCAGACTCCTCACCGGCCTACTTGACTCGCACAAGGACTTGAAGGAGAGGTTTGTCTGGGTCATGGGGGACGACTTCTAGTTGGGATGCTCCAACTAGCCCGAGATAAGGAGGGAGGCGCTCATGGGAGGCGAGTTATCTGGGGACGAGAGGGAGGTGCTCGACCTGATCAAGTTATACGCCAGCTCTCGTCAAGTCGACCATCTGCTCGACAAGTAAGTCTTGCGAGTTGCAGGCATGTCGGTCGTGCCTGCTACCACCCATGATCATGAGAGAGCTTCATCCCTCATTATAGGGGGAGCAGTAGCGACGCAGGAGCCTACTATTCCTTTGGCTGCTCCTCAAGAGGAGTCATCTGCCAGGCCTACGAAGCGTCCTCATCGGAACATTCCTCCAACGAAGGCTAAGGCGGCCGAGGAGTAGCCTGTCCCCACCCTCGTCCATAGATGTAGGAGGCAGTCGAGCTTGGGAGAACCAGCCGAGGCTCCTCAAGGAGGGGGAGGCTAGAGCCTACACCGACGAAGCAGGGCCGTATGTTCATCGTGGTGAGTCGTCCTGCGTACGAAGGAGTCGGCCGAGGAAGAGACGGAGCCCTCTACAGGGCTAGAATACCCCTTCTCCCATCGTGTTGATGAGATCAGTGAAGAAGAGTGGAAGAAGATGAGCGCGTACCTCATTGGGACTTCACGGGTCGGACGATGATATGTGCGGGAGCCCGACCCCAAGCACCGCTTTGAGGCTGCTAGCCATCTTGATGCCAGGGGGACCATCCACATGTAAAACCC